ATAGCTTTTGTGAAAGTGGGACCCTTCAGCAGGGTCTTGCCCTCCGGCTGCCTCAGTTTCCCTGGCCAAGATAAGAGTCAGTCACTGGTGCTGGGGACACTGTGGCCAAGCAGACTGGATTCGCACTGCCTCAGCTCACGGTCCAGTGGGGAAAGCTAGGCCGTGGTCCAGCCAGCCACAGCACCCAGAGGAGGGCAGCAGCACCCGGAGCCGTATGCTGTTGCAAGGGCGGATGGGAGATTGGGCTTCAGAAGAGACATCAGCCATGGAGGGAAGGAAGGGAAAGGGGTGAACGTGGGGCTCTGGAGGTAAACAGAGGCACAGGGAAAAATGGAGAGAGCCAGCGGGGAGGCTGATGCCTGGCACAGCCTGGGAGGAAGGGGCGGAGCATGTGGGAACGCGCTGGAGCCAGGTTCAAATGTTCGGTTCTGAGTCGGTCCTGCAGGGGGCCATGGAGATTTGGGGTAGAGGAGACATTGCCCCTGCCCCGAAACATTCTGGGCGGCCTCAGGCAAACTGTTTCTGTCTCCCAAATGCAGTTTCCCCCATCTATCTTCCTTCCTTATCTTCATTGGTCTACTTTTTGTTGTCCTTATTCTTTTTCTTTTCAATTTTGTGCTGGTACAGGGTCTGGGCCCTGTCCCTGAGCTTCATTTGCTCAAGGCTAGCGCTCTACCACTTGAGCCACAGCGCCACCTCTGGCTTTTTCTGTGTATGTGGTAGTAAGGAATCAAACCCAGGGCTTTATGCATGCTAGGCAAGCACTCTACCACTAAGCCACATTCCCAGCCCTCCACTTCAGTTTTTTGTTTTTGTTGGTCGTGAGTCTAGAACTCTGGGCCTGGGCACTGTCCCTCAGCTCTTCAGCTCAAGATGAGCGCTCTACCACTTGAGCCACAGTGCCACTTCTGGTTTTCTGGTGATTAATTGGAGATAAGAGTCTCATGGACTTTCTTGCCTGGGCTGGCTTTGAACCTTGATCCTCAGATCTCAGCCTCCTGAGTAGCTAGGATTACAGGCATGAGCCACCAGTGGGCGGCTACCGGCTTTTTGTTTGTTTGTTTGGTCGGTCATGGGGCCTGAATTCTGGGTCTGGGCACTGTCCTTCAGCTCTTCAGCTCAAGGTGAACACCCTACCACAGTGCCACTTCTGGCTTTTTCTGTTTATGTGGTGGTGAGGAACGGAACCCAGGTCCTCGTGCATGTGAGGCAAGCGCTCTACCACTGAAACTTCCAGCCCCACTTCCAGTGTTTTAAGTGGCTAATTGTAGATAAGAGTCTCTCAGGAACTTTTCTGCCCCAGCTGTCTGTGAACTGTGATCCTCAGCTCTAACCCTCATGAATAACTATGATGACAGACATGGGCCATTCGTGCCCAGCTTGGGTTTTTGTTGTTGTTGTTGTTTGTTTGTTGCTCAAGGTTGGTGCTCTACCACTTGAGCCATAGTGCCACTTCTGGCTCTATAGTAGTTTAATCGGAGATCAGAGTCTCATGAACTGTACTCTTTGGGCTGGCTTTGAACTTCAATCCATACATCTCAGCTTTCTGAATAGCTAGGATTACAGACGTGAGCCACTGGTGCCCCGCCTTGGTTGAGCTGTGAGTAAAACATGAGGTCTCTCATGGAACACAGTATCACCCATCATAATTCAGGTAATGAGAGTTGTGGTAATGAGAGTTGTTGAAGTTTATTCACAACTTCTCTGTGAATGAGACCTTCTAAAGGAGAGACTTTGGTCAGATCCATAGAAGGACCTAGAAGTTACATAGATGTCTGTTTGTTTGATCGTCCCTGCTGAGAGGTGAAGATGCTGGAATTTCACTCCGGCTCATTCCAGGCCCCTAAGCTCCCTGTGTGCAGTAAGCTTCCTTCAGGAACAGAGAGCTCTAGGAAGCACGATGGAGCATTGTGGAGACCGTGGCACACACAGAGTGAGCGATACCTGCCATCTTTGCCCAGAGCCCTTCAAAACTCTCGTCTCCTTCAGGATCAAAGCCTGAGTCCTCTCTCTGGCCCACAAAACCCTGCGCCACAGGACCCATTCCCTCTCTGCTTCTCCTCCTTGGGCCTTCTTACGGCTCCTCCCACACGTCAAGCCTCATCCTGCCCCAGGGACTTTGCACAGGTTGTGCCTACCACTTGCAGTATTTCCCCTCTGAATTCCTTATGATTATTACTTGTTCCAAGTTTACTCAAATATCACTTTGTCAGTCAAGACTTTTTTGTTGTTGGTGGTCATGGGGCTTGAACTCTGGACCTGGGTGGTGTTCCTGAACTTCTCAGGTCAAGGCCAGTGCTTGAACCACTGTGCCACTTCCAGCTTTTTCTGCTTATGGGGTGCTGAGGAATCAAACTCAGGGCCTCAGACATGCAAGGCAAACACTCTATCACTGAGCCATCTTCCCAGCTCGTATTTTTTTTATTAATATTTTGTACCTTCTGTGGGTTCCAGAGTCAAGATGGGGGCCAAATCTGGAATGTTTTCAGAAGTACAGTGGACTTCAGGAGTGGCTTGATCCCGCCTTTTCAGCTGATTATCCAGAATCAAGATTTGCTAGATGGGGCTAGGAAGGTGGCTCAGTGGTAGAGCGCTTGCCTCGCATACATGAGGCCCTGGGTTCAATTCCTCAGCACCACATAAGCAGCAAAAAGCAGGAAGTGGCACTGTGGCTCAAGTGGTAGAGCGCTAGCCTTGAGCTGTAGAGCTGAGGGACAGCGCCCAGCCCTCCAGAGTTCAGGCCCCATGACCAACAAAAATAAATTTGCTGGAGGCATGTCTCAAGCAGTAGAGCACCTGATTACCAAGCACAACGCTCTTAGCTCCAACCCCAATACTCTCAAATATTAAAACACAAGCCAGACACTGGTGGCTCATACCTGTCATCCTAGCTACTCAGGAGGCAGAGATCTGAGGATCATGATTCAAAGCCAGTCTCAGGCAGGAAAGTCCATGAGACTGTTACCTCCCATAAACTACTCAGAAAAAGCCAGAAGTGGGGGGAGGAGGGGCTGGGAAGGTGCCTCATTGGTAGAGTGCTTGCCTTGCATACATGAGGCCCTGGGTTTGATTTCTCAGCACCACATGAGCAGAAAAAGCTGGAAGTGGCGCTGTGGCTCAAGTGGTAGAGCACTAGCCTTGAGCTGAAGAGCTGAGGGACAGTGCCCAGGCCCAAAGTTCAGGCCCCAGGACTGGGAGTGGGGGAAAGATGAGGGATAGCACTCAAACCCCCAGGACAGGTATGCATGCGGGGGCACACACACACACACACACACCAAAAGACCTGGATGGTGGGTGGGGCTCAGGGTGGGCAGGGCTCAAGCTTAGAGTGCCTGTCCAGCCGGTGTGAAGCCCTGAAGACAAATCACAATATTGCCAGAGTGGAGGGAGTTTGGAGGCAGTGAAGGGCAGATAAAGGAGATTCATTGTACAACCTGAACACACCACAGGAAGAGTCAAAGGAAGCACTTGGTCCACATTTAGGGTGCAGACATGAGCTTTAGGCTTAAGCGATAAACTGGGCAGGGCAGAGAGGCATGCATTGAACAGTGCAGGCCCGCTGATGCCTGCTTGATTACTATCTCAGTTCTGGTTCTGTGAGGGTTTCTGGAGAATTTGTTATCACTGTTGTTAATCGAGGGGAGCAGGCTGTTCTCCCAAAAGCAGATTCTTCCTGGATTCTAGGGTGCAGCCGACCTTCCTAGATAGTTGTCATCATTTGGGTGTGGTCTGTCCTTGGAGGGGATGTTGCTGTCCCTGTCCTTGTGGGGCAGTTTTGCTCCCTTATCATAAATATGTTATACATAGATTCTATCCTGGAACCCAAGGTAATTGCAAGACAGAGATTCCAAGAAAAAGGGACAGGTGCAAAATGGAAGCTGGGAGGCCCAGCCTTTCTCTTGCTTTAGTTCCCTTGAGGGTCCCAATGTGGGTCTAGAGTCAGTCCATGGCGGGGGGGGGGGGCGCTGGCCTGGAGGTTTGAACTCAGGCCTTAGTTTTTTTGCTCAAGGCTCGTACCCTGACACTTGAGCCACAGGTCCACTTTCAGCTTTTTGGTGGTTCCTTGAAGATAAGTCTCAAAGTTTTTTGCCTTGGCTGACTTCAAACTATGATTCTCAAATCTTAGGTTCCTGAATAGCTAGGATTACAGGTGTGACCCACCAGTGCCTGGCTGGAATTTACTTTTTTTGTTAGTTCTGTGGGCTTGAACTCTAGGGCCTGAGCACCATTCCCTAAGCTTCTTTTGCCCAAGGCTAGCACTCTCACACTTGAGCTAGGATTACAGGTGTGAGCCACTGGTAACCATCTTGGAATTTACATTTTTAAGAAATAATTTTTTTTGAGGGGGTGGGTGGGTGGATGGGACAGGGTAATGCTCTGTAGTCCACACTAGCCTGGAACTCACACTCCACTTGCTGGGATTACAGGCCTGCACCACCATGCCTGGCAGTAATTATTTCAATTGTATGGGTTTATGGAGTACAGTATGAGAATCTGACATGTGTACGTAGCATGGGGTGATCGAATCAGGGTAGCATTACCCTCTCCTGAAACATTAAAAAAAATCTTCTGCTAACCTGTTATGACTGTGGATGTTTATGGGGCGCCATGGGAAGTTTCAACACGTGTCCACCATGTGCGCGGATCCCCTCAGCAGAGTTTCCCATCCCAGCATGACTTTGCCTCTGGAACCTTGCAGCTACTATAAAATGGAGAGCAGGTTCCAGTGAACCACAGGGACCCCCAGGGCTCCCCCACCGCGGGATTTACACTTTTTAAGACCTCCCAGCAGGAAAGACAGAACATTTTTATGGGACAGTTACAGCTCACAGGTCACTGGTTGGCGAGCCCCCAGAGGATGCTAGGGCACTTCCGGTCCCTCTCGGGCTTAAATACAACACGATGCCCCGCCCCCTCAATCCCCGCCTCCTGACGTCACTCCCTCCCGTAGCGTTCATTGGAGCAATTTGGGCATGCGCACTCCTTCCGTACAGCCTGGGACTCCACACGCGACCCGGAAGGCCTTGCTGCCACACTACAGAGCCGGCGTGAAGCGCTTCGATGGCGGAGGGAGCGGCGGAGGCCCTGACAGACAGCGGTGGCGACGGCGATTCGGGAGTCAGCGCGTCGGAACGGGGAGTGGCGCCCATTAAAGCTCAGTGAGTCGCCCGAGCAAGCCGGGGGTGGGGGTGGGGCGGGGG